GGACCCTCATTGAGCCTTTGGAGCCCAAGACCACATTCTCATGCCTTTAACGCTCTGAAGATTGCTCTGACGCAGCGCCTTCTCACCCCATCCCCCCTGCCAAAGAACAACTCTCTTTACTGCAGCACACTAATGCTTCCTTACCAGTCCTGCTGCCACCACCCAAACCTCAGCATGTTATCTCTACGGAAAAATGGGGTGGTTTTAAGTCCAAGGGGCTAGAGGCCTGGGAACAGGCTGCTGGGCCTGCTCTCCCCTCCTATCTCCCCCTTTTTCTCCAGCCTCATGTGCCTGCACATAATTTCCCAAAGCCTTTGGTAGCTTAAAGGTTTTGAAGTGTTGCTGGGTTCTAAATATTTTAAAACAGTATACAATCCTGAAACATTGATTGCTAGACAAATTTTAATTTGCCTGCTCTTAGTTTTTATTACAGAAGGTCTCTTATACTTTCTTGTCTGTATATTTTCTTGAAAGTAAGAGTGTGATTAAAGTGTGTTCATAAATGTAAATGCTGGTTGTTTACTTTTTGGCGGAAGCTGGTTGTTGTGAGTGGGTAGAGGTTCGTGTTGTCCAGTGAGACAGAACCTGATGACCCCGATGTCCAAAGGGACCCTTCTCTCCTCGTGAGCCACAGCACCCCGCCCGGCTCTCTCCTGCTGCCTAAGACCTTCTATGTGAGCCCAGACTTTCTTCCTCCCCACGCTCATTCCCAGTTCTCGCCACTGTCACTGAGCCTCACAGGTCCTCCTGGTGGCATTTAGGAATCCCTCTCCCTTTCTCGCCTTCTTAGAAGTCACACACTGCAAAGGACACCGAGTCAGGAATGACCCCGCAATAAAGGGAGGTAACAAAGCAGACCAGGAGGCCAAGGCAGCAGCTCAGTGGAAGCCCCGGTCTCCCCAGCTCCTGGCTCTACACCCTAATACACTCCAGAGGAACCTGAGGCCCTATAGCTCTTGGAGCTATGCAGGAAAATCCAGGGTTAAAATTTCAGGGGAAATATATCCTTCCCCAGGGACAGGCCCATGATACCTTATGGGCTATTCACAATTCCCTACGTATAGGGTACACTTACAACTCCTAAAGCCCTCATACATGTCCCACCCTAGCCTGCCTACTGCAAGATACCACCAAAACCTGTTCCACTGTCACTCAGTGTCTCTCCATGGACAGGTTACATCTCCTTGCTTCCCCACTCATCAGTCAAGGGGCCAAATCCCTGGACAAGACTGGCAGATTGACTTCACTCCCATGCCCCCTATTTAAAAAACCAAATCTCTCTTAACTTCAGTAGACGCCTTCTCAGGATGGGCAGAAGCATTCTCCTAAAAAAGCCCTCTGAGGTCACACGGCTCCCATCCAGATCAGCCTTCCCACCTCAGTGCAATCACATCTCAAATGGCCCCACAGGTCTCCACTACTCTGAACACCCCGTGGGACTCACACACACACACACACACACCCAGCCCCAATCTTCAGGCGAGGTACGAGAGGCAAATTCCTAATTAAGCCCCACCTAAATAATTCAGTTCTTGAAACTAAAGAACCTTAAACTACTCTGGCACCTCTAGCCTTTGTGCACATCAGGGCAATTCCTTCGTGTATCCTCCTTTCTTACTCCCTTTGAACTCATGTATGGAAGACCCTTCCCTTCGGCAGAGACTATGTCCACATTTTAAATCCCACCTGACAGTTACCAAAGAAAGTGCCAACCAGGTCTTCCCTCAGCTTTTACAGGAGGCACCCCCACTCCTACTAAAGGACACCAGCATAATTCACAGCCCTGAAGGCAAGACCTCTTAACCGTCCCAACGCCCCCTGGCCCCAGCTTTCCAGGCTAAAACACACCTCAGGACACTCCATCACATGAGCTGGAGTCCCTAAGATTACAGCCACCCAATCGGCCCCCGGAAGAGGGTGAATGAGTGAGCACTCGCAGGTGCTCCCTATGTTCCCTAGTAACCCTGGCTTCCCTGAAAGCCCACCTCCTCCCCAGGCTTCCACTGCCCCTTTCCTTCCCTTTGCTCTTCCTTGGATAACAGCCATCCTAGCATTCCCGCCCACTCTCACTGCAATAGACTCTCAACCCTCATCTGTCACCCTTATCGGTAGCGCCATGGCAACCACCCTCTCAGCTTGGAGCATGGAACCTGGAAGGGGAGTCTCATACCCTTTAGTCACCTCTTCTCCCTACACCTCTCAGCTTGTCTCCGTGATAGAGATCCTTCCTTCCTCTGTGGGGAGAACACATACAGCTGTCTCCCCGCCAGCTGGACAGAACCTGTACCTTCCTCTATCTCTCACCCAACCTAGACGTAACCCCCTGATAATCAGTCTGCCTGTACCCATAACCCACCAGATCCGACACAAAGGGCACCCAGATAATCCTCTCCCCATTACCCTCGGCCTCACGGCAGGGCTCGGGACTCACAGGGGGCTAACCACTCTCTAACAGATTTTGAAATCCTGTCTCAGGACCCACAAGAAGCCCAGATGACGTTGGCAAACGATTAGTGCACATTCCGGATCAGAGAGCCTCACTGCACTGAACAGAGAGGACTGGACCTCCTCCCAGCGGAAAGGGGCCTGATCAGGGAGCAGCAATCAGCTCCACGGGCCTGCCGGCTAAAGTGGTTGGTATCTGCCTCTCTCCGTAGGACCACTGGCATTCCTACTGCTCAGCCTCGCTTTGGCCGTGTATCCTGCGCCGTTTCCATCTTTCCTTCAGGACGGCTTTCGAGGCTTCACCAGCCCGTCTCTCGGGAGGTCACGCTGCTGCAACCCCTGGCTGCACCGGGAGGAATCTATACAGTGTTCCAGCTGACTACAAACAAAGGCCACCCTCCTCTCTCAGCGCCCCTCTCAGAGGAAGACAGGACCTTCGCCCCTGTTCCATCACAAAAAGGCTGGGTGTTAGGTCTGATCGAACTATTGAACCAATCCCCCTCCCCTGGGACTGGCCTTTAGGCCGCTTCACAATGGACACTCCACTTGCCTGGACCACAGCCCACTTGCTAAGACCATGCTCTCTCCCCTTGGGCCGCCCAGAATCCGGAACTGCACAGGGGAAGTCTCCGCCCAGAACAAGCCCTCCCAGATCCTTTAAAAACCACTGCCTGGGGCTGGAGCACCCAGGCTCAGCCACCTGGTGTGCGGGTGGGCGAATAAATTCATAATCCCTCCCCACTCTGGCCTCCTGCGGTCCTCCTTGGGCGACCTGTCAGTGCAGAGTCATAAAATGAAAGCAGGGCTGGAGCCTAGCAGCTCTCCTGTGCTGCGGGCAGGAAGGCCCCAGACCTGGAGACTCGGGGTTCACTTTCTTGTTTAAGGTGCACAATCGTGGTTTAGTTCCATGACTCAAACTCCTAGAAACTATTGTCTGAATTTGCCCCTCTCTACTGTTGATTGTTTTACTAAAGCTGCAGAATTTGCCTAATTTTATAACTCTAAATGAAACTTTACTCTGCTTTTGTGAGCAATCTCTAAAACGTTCTTCTCTATTCCACTGAAAAGCACCTGAGACATCTCCACTGTTTTCCACCTCGTCCTGGGAGGGGCTGGAGTCCTGTCCGCAGAGGTGCCGGCCTGCCTGCACTCCGGGGCCTCCTGGACAGGATAGATGGGCGGGCCTGTGTGCTTGCCTGCTTGTTTGTAAACATTCTGCATGGATAACTCTGCACGGAATGGGCACATAATGTCTGCATCTCTGTGGGGGTTTTGTGTTAATTAACACAAATACAAGTTCCTCGCACAGATATGCAACTTTTTAAAGCAATTATTTCCTTTCTCGCAGGAAATGTTCAGCACGTGTCTTCCGTGAACACTGCCGGGAACAGAGGAGCAGCGCGTTGGTTCTGTTTAAGAAGTGAACACACAGCCGCGCTCCTTTGAAACTTGCGCTTTATTGACTGCTAACTGAGTGCTTGTCCTCCGCCAGGCCCTCTCCCGTTTCACCCGCCCTGGCCCTGCCAGCCACGTTCAAGTCCAAGGAGGATGTGCCTTCCAAGCTTCTGTTCGGTCTCAGCTCAGTTTTCAAGTGCGCTCTGCTGTCAGCTCACGGTGCCCTGTTGGAGCTTTGGGGAACACACCCCGCCCCCCCACACACACATGCACACACATACATGCACACACCCCACACATGCACACGCACACACACCACGCATGCACACGCATACATGCACACCCCACACACATGCACACATACGCACATACACCACATACATGCACACGCATACATGCACACACCACGCACATACGCACATACACCACACACACACACCACACATACACACACACCCTTTAAATGCTGAATGGCCGGGGGTTTAATGTTACTTTGACACAAAATTGTTGGTGCCCAAGTCTGAAAGGGAACATTGTTTCCTCGGCTCGGAGTCCAGCTCTGCCTTGCGCTCCTTCCCGCTTGGGGATCCGGCCCCTGGGAAGGCGGTGCAGGCGGTGCAGGCGGCCTGCGCCCTCGCGGGGCTGCTGGCCGGAGGCGGCTCTGGCCGGGGACCGCTTCCTCTCCTCCCTCCGCCGCAGCCGCCCTGTAATCAGCGCCGCGGGTCAAGCAGGGCTACGCCGGCAAACCACCGGGTTTCCACGAAATAATACATTTCTGTGGCTCCCAGACATGCGCACCTCCAGCCCTGAAAACAGGGAGATGTTTCTATTTCGCGCCGGGAGGGAGCGGGAGGGCCAGCGGCGGACAGCCAGCTCCGGGGACAGGATGGCGCTCCGGGGAGGGGGTGGGGACAGGGGCGGGGGGACAGGGAACCTCGAGTCCGGCGGGACGTCGAGGCGCAGAAAGTCCTGGACAGGATCCGTGACTCTTGGGGGGCTGAGGGGGACCAAGAGCCTCCCCCGCCAGCTCCAGCGGGCTCAGGGCGGCGGGGCTGCGGGGTAGCGCTCCACCTGCCCGCCGGCGCCCCCTCTGACCCGGAGCCTGGGCGCCGCCCCCGCGCCCTGCGGCAGGTGTCCCCGGGAGAAGCCGGAGCCTGGGTGGCCGCCCGGCGCTGCCTCCGGGGCGGGGACAGCGGCCCTGGGCGCCTGGCGCGGCGACCCCTCCCGCGGCGCTCAGGCTCCGGGGCGGCGGGTCCCGGCGCGTGGCGGCCGGAGGGGGGCGCAGCTGCCGCCCCGGCTGCCCCGGGGCCCTGTCGCGCGCGCTCGGGCAGGTGCCAGGTGCGCGGTGCCCGGCCCGGCGCCCGCGCCCTCCCGCCCCGCCGCCCGGGCGCCGTGCCCGCCCCGCCCCGCCCGCCGGCCGCCCGGGGCCGCGCCTGCAGCTGCGGTCGGCGAGCCGGGCCGGGCACAGGCCGGGGGCGGAGGGCGGCGGAGGGCGGCCGAGGCTCGGGTGGGGACCGGGCCGGGCGCTGCGGAGACCTGGCTGGCGGCGGCGCGGGGCGCGATGCGCTGAGCGCCGGGGGGCCGCGCGCGGGGCCATGGAGCCGGCGGGCACCGGGCGGCGCCGGCCCGAGCGGCTGCTGCTCCCGCCTCTCCCGCTGCTCCTGCCGCTCCTGCTGCTCCTGCCGGCAGCCCGGCCCGCGGGCGCCGAGACGCTGCCGGGCGCCAGGGCCGTGGGCACCAGCGCCAGCCCGCCCAGCCCGGCCAGCGTGGTGGCCCCGGGGACGGCGCCGCTGGAGGAGAGCCGGCTGCCCGTGTTCACCCTGGACTACCCGCACGTGCAGATCCCCTTCGAGATCACCCTGTGGATCCTGCTGGCCTCGCTGGCCAAGATCGGTGAGGCCCGGGCGGGGCCGGGGGGGCTCCTGTGCGGCTCCTGGTGGGCACCGCCAGCGGGAGCCGCGCTGAGGAGGGAGCTGGCCTCTGCCCTGAGCGGGTGACAGCCCGGGCCAGCGGCGCCCTGGTGACAGGTGGGGGGTGACAGGTGGGGGCTACAGACGGGGGGGGGCGGGTAAAAGGCGAGGGGGGAACAGGCGGGGGGCACAGACAGGGGTAGAGGGGAGCAGGGCGCTGGGAGGTTAGCGGCCGCGGCCCGGCGCCAGGCTGAGCATCAGGAGGCGACCCGCACTCCCTGCTTGGGGCTGAGGCTTCCCCTCCAGGAAGCGCTTTTTGGGGCGAAGACGGGGAGGACAGGCCAGGGAGGCAAGCTGCACATTTTAAAATAATCGACCCTCTTTTGGAACTCCTTTCACTCCCATTGGAAAGCGGAGGCCTGGCCTCCCTGCCTCCCTCCCGCGCACTCGCTGCGGTCTTCTGTGAGGCTGTGGTGCTTTCTCTTGTTCTTACTTTACATTTAAAGACTTTGTATCCGAAGACGCGCAGCCGCTGCCAGTGGCTCCGAGGGCGTTCGGCGGAGGTGGGTGACCCCGCACCTGCCCGGCGGCGGAGCGGCCTGTGGCCCCGGGCGCGGGGCGGAGGGCGGCCCTCGTCGCCCCAAAGCCGCCTGCCGGGCAGTCAGAGGGCGGCTGGGCGGGGGCAGCGGTCACCTGCTCCCGCAAAGGATGCGTCTCCCGGGTTTTCCAAGATGGCCCGGCGGCCAGGGAGGAAAGGACTCCATCCCCAGGGGCAGCCGCCAAGGCGGCGGAGGGAGGTGCGGCGGAGGGAGCCTCCCTGTGGGTCTGAGGCCAGCAGGTCCCGTCAGGGGACCGAGCGCACTTGCCGCCTCTGATCGGCCTGTGACTGCCGCTGTCTGCCCCGCGCACGGCCTCCCGCAGGCACACGGGCCGGCCCGGCGGGCGGACCGGGGCCGCCGTGAGGGGGGCAGACCCGCTGCCGCCGCTCCCATCGCTGCGCCTGCTGCCCTTCTATTCAATTACCATTCTTTCTTCTGCTCTTCGCTCCTGACTACTTCAGTCTGGTTAATCACACTAATAACGGCTGCGAGGGGCCGCTCAAGTTCGCTGCGCCTCATTTCCGCAGCCACCCGGGGGCACGATGGCCTGGCTTCTCGGAGGGACTGAGAAGCGACAGGCCAGGCCGGCGGAGCCAGTCCCCCGGCCGGTCCTCCCCTGCCTGTCCGGGCTGTTTGGTGTGAAGGCTCACTCACGGGGAATGGGTTTGTGTGGCACCCTGAGGATAATGCTGGTGCAGCGGACATAGGGAGTGGGCGCGGGAGTGGCACCCGGGACCGCGGGCAAGTCTGTTTCCCAGCTCGGGTCTGAGATCTGAGTGCCAGGCTGTCCCAGCTCCGCCTCCTCCACCGGCTGGCACTCTGTGGGGTGCCTTCCTTCCCACTCTTTTCCTGCCATGATCTTCTCATCTCTGTGACCTTATCGCACTCACTGTGCCTGTTTTATTAACAGGGATCTGTGCTGGTCATAGGGCATCGATCTGCCTGTTGGCAGCTCCTTATGTGATTTATTTCTGGCCAGGCACTGGCTGTTCTCTGGGTCTGCCTGCCCCCCCCCCCCCATGCTGACCTTCTCTGGCTACTATTTCCTCTTCCTTTCTGCACCTGGGTGGCTCAGAGTTGGAAACAAAGTCAGATGCTCATATCTCCCGCCAGGAGGATCTGAGCAAGGAGGGGACAGGGCTGGGGGCAGAGCGCTCTCAGAGCAGCAGGTGGTTTTAGGCCTCAGAGCTGTCCTTGGGACTTGTCTTGATACTCCCTGTGTATAGTCCTGCTGCCACTGCTCTGTCCCTGGGGAAGGGGAGGGGGGTGCTGTCTGTGGGACACTTTCCTGGCCCATTAAGTGGTCATTCAATTTATATTTTAACTGTTGCAATGGAAAAAAAAACTATTATTTTGGGTCACTTGCATAGCTTAGTTTGCTCATATTTGGGGAGGATGATAAACAGAGCCGTGCAGAGGGACATAGGGCTATGAGGTAACAGGAATATTAACTCATGCAAAATGCCAAGGTTTCTATTTGTGGCACTTTTACGCCCTGTGCCTGGTGCACCTGAACCTACCTGCCCAGAGGTCCCGGAGCAATGCCAGCCATGCTCGCTCGGACCAGGCAGAACAGGCTGCCCCACCGGGAGGTTCCTAATGACGTTTGCAGGTCAAAGCACCGTGTGGTACAGATGGAACTAAGATATTACGTTATGTCAGCAGTAACTGGAAAATAAAAAAATTAAATCATGCCTGATGGTGAGTTCAGAATAGTTTTCTAGTTTGCAACACAATAGAAATCTAGAAAAATTACCGTCACAGGTGTTAAATGAGTCAACTTGTCATCGTTTTACCTGGTTATTAGGGAAAATCAATTTTCTAATTATTTGCTTTAAAAAAATCTTTAGTAATAAAGCTTCCTGAAATGATGAGGATGAGGGTGTGTGTGTGTGTATGAAGTAGGTCTCATAAGTAAAAGAACAGAAAATTTAGTACAGCTTTGAAAAGTTTTTAAAATTTTGGCAACCAACATCTCCCAATCTGTTCTTCACTTCAATCCTCACACGTGTTCTTTCATTTTAAATGTTTGTCTTTGAGGAAGTTGGTTTTTTTATCAGTAAAAATGCCCATTTGCTTGGTCAGTCCTGTGCACCGGGAGTACACAGCCCAGAAAACGGGCCAAGAATTCAGAAGAGAGGCTGGCTCCTCTGCTTTCCCTGTGCAGTGGTCAGTGGGTCTGCCCTGAGCAGGGACACAGGCCTTCGCCCCTCTCCCCTCCCCCGCCCCTCTGCCCCTCCGGCTCTGCTGGCTCAGGGCCAGAGGCCCCTTCTTTGTCCTCAGGCCCATGCCCGGTTTCTCTCCCAGGCGTCAGACACATCCTGCCCCTTCACTTCCGTTGTCCTAGGGCTGCGGCATCTTCCACTCCCTTCGATCCCGTTGTCCTAAAAATCAGGTAAACATGTGTTATCGTTTTAAGGAATGACAATACAGTTTGGGCAGTGACGGTTTCCCCTCTGGGCTCCAAGCTGCCCTGAGTTTGAAATATGAAACCAGTTCCCTTAGATAATACCTGCCTGCCTTACCCAGATCCTCATCTCTGCCGAAGACAAAAGAACAGCCCTTGTCCTTTACCTGTTTCTCTTTTGTCAGCGTTGCTTTTCCTGAGCTCGCCAGCTGGCTGGTGAGATGAAGCTCACGGCCTTCCCTATTTTTTTACTCACGTCTCACTTTGAAGCCTGGCGTTCGGTTCCTGTAGGCGCGTGCTGGTTCCTGCGGACCCTCCCTGCCAGCCTCCCTCTCTGGGCGGCCAAGCCCCTCTCTGTCTGCAGCTGGCTCAGCAGCTTCCCGGCTCTTTCCAAGGACCAAGTCAGGTGCTTTCTCTAGAACGGTGTCTCTGTCCTCTACTGCAGGAACCGCTTTGTACCTTTTTAAATAATGGCATATTATTACTGTAAAATAAGGTTCCACACCAAAATGTTACTTTTTATATCAACTTTAACAATTACACTATTATTTATCACTAATGGGATGCTTTATTTATTTATTTATTTTTCTTTTTTCTTTTTCTTCTTTTTTCCCCCCCAGAATTCTTTCACATGTCTTGAAGCCCAAAACCTTTTGTATAAGTGTATTTGTTCCGGGAGGGTGGTAAAACTCACCAGTAAAATCAAGTGAATTTGATGGTTTGTATATGGATAGAGTTTCACCAATGGTTGAATGATAAGATTTCGTCGTATAATTTGGATCTGCTTTGTGTAATTTGGATCCTCCAATAGGTTTTCATTCCCTTAGCAGCCTGGCATATCGCAGCCACACTATCAGTGACCTCGTGCTACTTCTGCATCTCCCTTCTCTTCCGGACTGTTTCCTTCCTACTGAAATATGTTCCTTGGTGGATACTTCAGGGACGGCCTTGAATGATAAATTCCCTCAGTCTTTGTCTAAAAAATGTCTTTACTTTGATCATCTCCTTGAATAATTATATGACAGTCCAGGGGGTGAGTAATTATAACTTCGCTGCAAAACATTATTTCATTATTTTCTGCCCCCTGTTGTTGCTAAGGTTGCTGCTCACTGGCCTTTGGAGTGTATCTGACTTCTCTCTCTGCTTGTACTCAAGAGATTTTGTGTGGTTATTCTGCAGTTGCCATGATGTGTCTCAGTATGAATTTATTTTATTTTTCTCACTTAAAATTTGTTGTGCTTCCAAGTTTCTTAATGCTGCTCTCTGTTCCAGCTACAGATTACTTGCAGTGTGTTTCCACTCTGTGGTTAACCTACTCACCGGAAGTCCATTTCAATGATCTTGGCACTTAAGCGTGTTTGGTCCTTTTCCAAGTTCTTCTGCAGTTTGTTCATGCTCTTTGTTATGTAACTATAGATTTCATCCCTCTTTTCATTAGTTTATTTAAACTATTTTACTGCTTAGATTGTTCTCTTATTCCTAGTTTTTTGGGTTGCTAATTCATATGTCTATCGCATCTACTGACTTTCCCTTTTATATATTACTAGAGGCCCAGTGCACGAAAACGTGTGCTCTGGGAGGTGGGTCCCTCAGCCCGGCTGGGTCTCACAGTCCGGAGCCCTCAGGGGATCCAGAGGGAACAGGCCTAAGCCACAGTCTGGCCTCCCTCTGAGGGGCCCATCAGGGAGCTGCACCAGCCAGCAAGCAGCCAGCCCCACTGCCCGATCACCCCTTCACTGCCACCCCTACTTGCTGTCCCCTACCTCTGCCCACTGGCACCTGCCTTATCTGGCCTGATGCCACCTGCTCACCAGCCCCGCCCCTCACCAACCAGTTGTTGCACCATTTGGTCTATTTGCATATTAGGGCTTTTATTATATAGGATTAGAGACCCTGTGCATGGATTCATGCACCAGTAGGGTCCTGTGGCTTGGCCTGCAGGGATTAGACTGAAGCCGCTCTCTGACATCCTTGAGG